TATTAAACATGTTCGTAAAGCCCAACCCAGAAAGTGTCAGTGAGCTTGAACCATGCAAAGCTGTCCATCAATGTCAGTCTGAGAGCTTGAACCATGCAAAGCTGTCCATCAATGTCAGTCTGGATTGCACACAATCTTTTTTTCATCATCCAACAAATAAAGAGATCTCAGAGATTTTGGTAATGCTGTTTTTTTTTGTGTAAACAATATCAGAGGCTATAACAATTTTCCCTACAGCCATGAAAGTGAGGGCTTGACACTCATCGATAGAGTACAATGGACAGCACCGCACACAGTATCGATAGAGTACAATGGACAGCACTGCACACAGTATTTACAACAGCCAAGAGATGGATAGGTTACCAGTTCTTAAATCAGAGTGGACCATCTTACTCTTACTTGACTGTGTTCAGCAAATGATGTCTTAAAGTGGTAGTCAAATGATGTCTTAAAATGGTAGTCAAATGATGTCTTAAAATGGTAATCAAATGATGTCTTAAAATGGTAGTCAAATGAGGTCTTAAAATGGTAATCAAATGATGTCTTAAAGTGGTAGTCAAATGATGTCTTTAAATGATAGTCAAATGATGTCTTAGAATAGTAGTCAAATGATGTCTTAAAATGGTAGTCAAATGATGTCTTAAAATGGTAATCAAATGATGTCTTAAAGTGGTAGTCAAATGATGTCTTTAAATGATAGTCAAATGATGTCTTAGAATGGTAGTCAAATGATGTCTTAAAATGGTAGTCAAATGATGTCTTAAAATGGTAGTCAAATGATGTCTTGCAGAAAGAAGTGGCAGAGCCTGGCAAGACTGTGACAAGTCCACACATAGAAACGACTGACCACCTGAGATGTTTTTATATCATTGGAGATGCCTCTTGGAGTTGGATCCATAGCCTTTCATAGGATTTCTTTTCATTTATGTGGTCAGAACTAGAAGTCCAAGCTATACTGATTTGTGAAACCAGACGCATGCCAACATGATTTATTGAAACACAAGCAACGCACACCTTCCTACTAAGCTGCGTCTCTTTATGTGGTCAGAACTAGAAGTCCAAGCTATACTGATTTGTGAAACCAGACGCATGCCAACATGATTTATTGAAACACAAGCAACGCACACCTTCCTACTAAGCTGCGTCTCTTTATGTGGTCAGAACTAGAAGTCCAAGCTATACTGATTTGTGAAACCAGACCCATGCCAACATGATTTATTGAAACACAAGCAACGCACACCTTCCTACTAAGCTGCGTCTCTTTATGTGGTCATTAGGAAAACGTTTGATGCTTGTCTAATATCAAGAGACCAGTCTCTGATGCAAAACAAGAAGAAAAAAACACCATATATCAAATGTGTAAATGGAATAAAATGTACAAGGACTGCTGAACACAACTAATATAACTGGTATCTTATGATAACAAGAGATAGACTATTATGGCAAAAGTTGGTTAACAGATAAACAGTAGGAGATTTAAAAAATCAAATTGTTGCACCCCAGGGGAAGTGACCACGACAAGAACAGTCATGATAACATGTAATGTAAGGGTTAGACAAGTCTTTTCTTATCAGCTCTTAGGTTTTGGGAAAAAAATAGCTGTATCGTATAATGAGGGTTATTTCAATGACTGTTGAAAAGAGCTAATCAGGGCTGAAGAGTAATAGGAAAGAAGTTGATAGATGGTTTAATAAAGGCTAGAACACAGGGGAAGTAAATCGTAGATGGTTTAATAAAGGCTAGAACACTAGGGAAGTAAGGAATAGATGATTTAGTGAGGTGAAAAATGGCCTATTGAAGGGCTTAGATTTTTATCAATATTCCAACTGTGAGAAAAGTAAGGTGGTGGTTGTTTTTTTGAACAGGTTAAAATGAAAAGAAATCATTCCAGGAGGGAGGGAGGGAGGGAGGGAGGGAGGGAGCTGTTGAAGTCAAACGTGGGATGGATGGATTGAAAGGATTTACCTTTGTTTCCACTCTCAGTCAGGTTGTTTCCCTTCTTAACCATCATCAAATTATTTTAGAACTAGTATTGGAAGCATGGCCAAACAGCTGCTGGTCAAATCATGGCCTTTTTAGGGCAAGTTTTAATCAAGAAATCATGTGTCTTATCCTACATGCAGTTAAATAATGTAAGGACAATGTCACTTTTTGTATGACCTTCAACTGAGAATGGACTGTTACACTTTTCAATGCTTCATTTGAAAGTACATGGTTTATTAGAATCACGATGTGGTGCTCGTACGGCTTTCCATTCATTCACTGCTAGGCTCTAATGTCCTCCGATGTAATGCCATGCCCTTGTAAATGGCTTCACTTCCACTTTAATACCTGTATCTTTACCCCCTTCAAAGATTGTCCCATTTACACCCATCGTGCCTAACTAAACTACATTCACCAAAACATTGTTATTCCCTAGTGTCAGCACAATAATAAGACCTGCATACGACCCCACACAAGGTCAAGTATGACCAAAAGCATGTCCACCAACCGCAGACACCTCCAAATGCAAACCTTAAGCCCATTATTGATCACCTGCCTCTAAGAATTGTCTCCCTTCTCCAAACTAGATTTTTAGATGCAACATTCTTCAGACTAGTCTCATTTTCTACCGGCCTTAGCTTTAATAAGTTAACCAAAAATGTTTACCTTTATTCCTTGGACAAAAATGAACAAAATATTTTAAATCCAGCCATTGCGAGGCCTCAGTGGTTATAATTTGATCTGCCTCTTTAACCATTGGGGCAAGATGACCTGTGTAGAGCTTCTTGTCTGATGGTTACACCACACTATGACCACATGATGACCTGTACAGATCTTCTTGTCTGATGGTTACACCAAGCTATGACCACATGATGACCTGTACAGATCTTCTTGTCTGATGGTTACACCAAGCTATGACCACATGATGACCTGTACAGATCTTCTTGTCTGATGGTTACACCAAGCTATGACCACATGGTGACCTGTACAGATCTTCTTGTCTGATGGTTACACCAAGCTATGACCACATGGTGACCTGTACAGATCTTCTTGTCTGATGGTTACACCAAGCTATGACCACATGATGACCTGTACAGATCTTCTTGTCTGATGGTTACACCAAGCTATGACCACATGATGACCTGTACAGATCTTCTTGTCTGATGGTTACACCAAGCTATGACCACACAATGACCTGTACAGATCTTCTTGTCTGATGGTTACACCAAGCTATGACCACATGGTGACCTGTACAGATCTTCTTGTATGATGGTTACACTAAGCTATGACCACATGGTGACCTGTACAGATCTTCTTGTCTGATGGTTACACCAAGCTATGACCACATGATGACCTGTACAGATCTTCTTGTCTGATGGTTACACCAAGCTATGACCACATGATGACCTGTACAGATCTTCTTGTCTGATGGTTACACCAAGCTATGACCACACAATGACCTGTACAGATCTTCTGGTCTGATGGTTACACCAAGCTATGACCACATGATGACCTGTACAGATCTTCTTGTCTGATGGTTACACCAAGCTATGACCACACAATGACCTGTACAGATCTTCTGGTCTGATGGTTACACCAAGCTATGACCACATGATGACCTGTACAGATCTTCTTGTCTGATGGTTACACCAAGCTATGACCACACAATGACCTGTACAGATCTTCTGGTCTGATGGTTACACCAAGCTATGACCACATG